GCGTGTGTATACATAAGTGCCAGGATCAAAGAGCACTATGGCTTACTTTCACTTGAGCCATTTGCAACCCCAAATACTATTAAACTCAATACCTACTGTAGGGATGCAAAATGGCCGCCACAGAAAGGCCACTAGAGGGAGCTGTGACATCCAGCAGACGCTGTGTGTGCCTCCCTCCATGAGCTTTAGGCTTTAAGGTGGTTTGGTTCATACTAGAGCCTCTTCCTCTTAAAGTAGTCAGCGTACTGCCCTCCCAGGCCTTGGGAGTGCTGCCCGATGTAGGCACCGTCTGATGATGTCACTTCCTGCACTGCTAACTGAGGGTACTCCCTCTTATGACCCCTTGTCTGGTTCTGAGGAGACAGGAATGAGAAGAGAGGGAAAGAGTTAGAGGTGAAGAAACGGCGTGTTGAAGAACTCACACGATCAGCTAATGTTGCATTCAATAAAGTTGGAAANNNNGATTGTAATACAACAAACTCTTATTTAAAAGATGATCCCATCAAACTAATGTGCATTCTTGGAATCAATGAATTTGGAAAAAATAAATGTGACTAGTTGCAAAAATCCTTTGTTTGTGTGGTCTCCAGTGAGATTGGGCCACAGAGGCTGTTTGTTCAAACAAAGATAAATCTTTCCAGCGACGAGGCTTAGCTCAGGAGTCTGGATCTGTCTTCTCACGTCATCATGCTCTCAGAGTCCTTTCTTCCACTTTTTTCTCTCAGAAAACAAGGCTGCAAGGTTGTTCTACTGCCACATCTCAACACACATTATCACATCAAGCATTTAGAAAACACTGATCTCCATAATCTCTCTTTTTTAATTTTGTAGGGTTTAGCCCAAAGACAGAATTACTATTCTCTTCATAGGTTTCACACTGTTCACTGTTCAATCTGCCACTACAGTATAGACAGTGATAGAATAACTAAATCTTATCAGACAGGGATCTGTGAGACTACATCCTTTCAAATACTGGTCTGTGGCCGGATGTGTATCCTTGACACCACAAGTGTTGAACTAAATGAACAAAGTCTGAAAAAATGTACAGATTTTTGTTTCTGCTTTCCAATCCTGTTTACTGTCTCACAACCTGTATGCCATGCGTATGCTGTTGTACTGACAATATTGCAGATGCTACATAAATGTTCATTATACTGAATTTGTCACGGGACAAGTGTTGAGTTTGGATTGACAGCAAACACCATCAAGAGCAAATTAAAATGGATGCATATCACACTATGACGAGTTGATTAAGATATGGTCCCCAGTTATTGAATATGTAAAGGAACTGACTCTATATAATGCTACCTGATGGATGTTGTTGTAGCTAATTGCTACCATAACCCACAACTAATGTTTATACATTGGATCTCCCCATTTTTTCTATTCTTTCTTAATCTATTTACTACTTCATTATACTTGGTACTTTTTATATTTTATGGTTTTTATCTATTTATTTTTGATTGGTAATTTGAGTTTGAGTTTTTTCTATGATTTGTTTGCTTTTATTGTAAAGCAGCTTCAGTGAAATACAGGGTGATCCTGATACTCTCACCGAGTCTCAATAAGCATTTTTATAATGAACCACCACAGACCACATATACATTATACGGGTACAGATGTGTAAGATAATAGTCTTTACTAATATTTATTGTATGGTTTTAGCCTTTGTATAAGGATTGTTTTTACAAATAAATCCATCCAGTAGTAGTTATTCTGAATTACCACTTTAAATTCAACAAGCTGAACAGTGATCCTCTCCCTCAGCTCCCCACTGTCAACAACTAATACCGCCCACTAATATCAGAAGTCATACATGAAACACTGAAGTAGTTAGCTTCAATATGAAATGTTTGGATTGTGTCAGCTGAGCTGAGCACGCTCACTCTCTAGGCTGTCACTTCAAAATGGAATAAATGGGGAAAAAAAAAAAAAAAACACAATGAAAAAGGCAAAAAGATGTTTTCTCCAGCTTCTCTCACAGAAGTACTAAAATTGTCACATCCTGTATAAGAGTATTCATTTCCTCTACTTACATAGTAGTAGGTGTTCCAGTCAGTGGCGGCAGTGTGTGCGTGCGTGACAGGGCTTGGCGCGGCTGCCGCCGGGTGTGGCGCCCCGAGGAAGCCGGGCATTAAAGGCAGGGTGCTGTAGGCTGGGAGCACGGCAGCAGCTGGTAGGACGGCCGGTGGAGGGGCCGCGCCGTTACTGACTGCGTGCAGGGAGACTCCTAGAGGCTTACACACATCTACCTCCTAAAAGAGACACACACACATTTAACGACAGGTGGTTGACTGTCTTATCACTGATAGTTACATTTTATGGTCCATTTTGTTTTTATGTGGCATATTGCTGTTGAAAGTGCTTCCAGTAACTGATTCACTTTCTTTCATCTATTCATTTATTTATTCATGTCAACCTTTCTGCCTCCTGGTGGCTATAATGAGATACACTGTCTACAGAGGACTCAACCAGGATCACTCATCATTCCCCCCTTACTGTTATTGTACAAGCTTGTTCTATTTCTTGAGGACAACCAGCCAAAACAAAATGTTACAATGCCATGTCCACATATTTTTAGGTCAGTTTCATGCCAGGAAGAAACTGTATGTCAGAACTCTATCGTATCACTTTCTCCAAGATATCAATTTCTCCACCAGCAGTGAGCTCAGTAGACCAGAATGTAACTCGGAGCGAGATCAATGGCTGCATCTTCAGGCAGACACTTCACACACACACAGACACGTACAGCCTCTAGCAGCAGCAGCAGATAAGCCTGGACCTGGCTGCTCAGGGTGTGTGGAGATGTCTAGTATCAGCTGTTAGGTGCAGAGTGATGCGTTCCCTCTAACAGGGTATCAGTGTCTCATAGAGAGGTCACTCTCTCCAAATAAACATGCAGACAAACTGCGTGTAAATACCAGCATGCAGCTCTAAGGGCCGCTGCCCCAGATCATTTACACTGTGTATGCAGGACAGGATGTTGCTTGAATAAAAATATTCAGGTTGAGTTTTAAAGAGCTTCTGTTTTGTATGAAGCCTGACTGTCATTTGTACAAAATTCTTAGTCATTTGTGTGCTGAAATGAATAACTTCTGCCAATATATGAGTAATTCATTGTCTCAAATAACAACAAAATATTTTTGGACACTTGAAAGATGTGCTCTCATGTTTGAATAAAGGTTACAAGGTTACATATTTCATGTCTGAAAAGGGCAGTAGTCTGCTCTTCTCTGGCCATCACTGAACCTCTTTAGTGGCCAGTTTAATATGGATATCAAATAGGCTTAACTGATGCCTGTTGATTAGTCTTGTCCTTGGGGTTATGGTTAGAATCATGCTTTGGATGGGGTTAGGCGCGTGCATGTGTACCTTGCTGGCGTAGGCCTGGTTGGCTGTTGCAGGCTGAGAGTAGTACTGAGTGACCGCCTGCATGTAGGAACTGTAATCCCCGTAGGTCGACACTGGTGGAGCCTGGAACACAAGAAGGTTATTTTACAAATGCTGTAGGGCCCCACTGATTGATCAAACATTTCAACCAATCTTCACTTCTTAGTGAAAAACACACACATACAAAACACGTAAACTGATGAGCCATAATTTTGCACACACACAACCAGTTCTGAATGAGTGTGTTTTTTACCTGTGTGTGCTCCTTGCTGTAGTCCGTGGCCGTGCTGTCCTGTGGAGCAGCAGTGCTGTACGTGTGAGCTTGTGCTGCTTGGTAGTGCTGGTACCACTGCTGCATGGCCTCCTATGGTGCATGCACACACAGACACACACACACAGCCATCAGCAAACATCAGATGAAGAGCGGTTGGAGCAGACAGGTGAATGTTTGCTCAGTACTTTTCTTGTCTTTGCTGATTTTTTGCCTCCTTTATATCTGTCTTTCTCTTTCTATGTCATTCAACTATTGTTCCTGCTGACGGCTCTCCCCTGTTCCTCTCCTTTGTCTCCTCTTTCCAGACAAATTAAACCGACCGTTTTATTGGTTATCTAATCATGATTCGTTTGTTTGGATGAGTAGATTGTAATTAACATTTAAAATTGGGTTTGTATCGCGCTGCAAATATCAGATAAGTCAGTTGCTGCTGGAGGAGGCAAAACCACGACGAAAGCAACAGAGTGACAGAGAAGAAAAGAGAGAATTGCAGACAAACAGCCAGTAGGGAGGATTCATGACTTGTATAGAGTGAAGTGTTGAGAGAGAGAAAGGCAGTAGGGACAGATGGAAAGACACAGCGCTCTCTGCCAAATCCTCTCTCATTCTGTCTGTCCAAATATCCATACCCATTCTCATCTCTTCCACCTCCCTGCCTCCCACAGTTACAGCTCACTCTGTCACTGCTGCACTCATCCATCCACTCATTATGTATCCATCCATCGATCATCTATCCAGCCACCATCCTTCTCTCACACATTTCAGACCAACATCCATGCATCTATCACAATATTTCTTCATTTGTATCCCTGTAAAAGTGTGTCTGTATGAGGTGCAGTACCTGTGTGTAGGCCTGGTTGTATTGGCTGTAGTCAGTGGAGGTATCAGTGCTGTATGGAGCTGTGGTTGTAGCTGCTGCGCTGTGGGAAAAGGAGCCGGCGCCCTGGGAGACGACGGGAGCAACCGAAGTGCCGTACACTCCGGGGCCAGGCTGTCCTCCCTGGGCTTTACTCCCCACTGATCCTGATCCACAGTGGAGGGAAACATGTAGGAGGCACAATGAGTTAGATAATAATGTGGGCAATCACACTATTATAGACATTAACATTGCAAAATGTCTCAAAGGAATACATTCTGCTTTGCCCTTAAAAGTGGGCTTAGTAGCTTGTGCCCTTGTGGCAACTGTAATCTACTTAGATTAACAACAGTTATGGAGTAAGATCCCCATTTCCGTATGTACCAGACAAACTTGCTTGCAGAAGAGCTTTGGAGATATGAGAAGGCAATACTGTGACACAGAAGCAGTGTATTTAGCACTGTTGTAGAGAAACTATGAGTGTTTAACAGACTAAACTAGAGTCCAGTGTCAGTTGAGTAATTATCCTGCAGAAGGGTTTACATTTTAGGAAAATATGCTAATTTGCTTTCTTACCACTCACGTCTGTACATTGAATATGAAATTACAACCAGCAGCTGCTTAGCTTAGCTTAGCATAAAGACTGAAAACAGCTGCTCATCAGAACCTCTAAAAGGTCACTGAACATGTTGTATCTTGTCTGTTTAATATGTTTAAAAACAAAAGCGGTAAAGAAAATGGTGGTTTCCTGGAGTCTGGTTGTCACAATGAGGTTGAATCAGAGTGAGAAAGTTTGACATCATCTGACAAGTTTCTTTGGTGTGACTATTGGGAATAACTGTAACTATCATAAAGCCAAGCTGACAAAGAAATACATTTTGTAGAGACATCTTTCAGCCCTACAGGCACTCAGAAGATGTTTGGAGTATTACTTTGACAAGAGTCATATAGTTTTGTCCTATTTTTATCAATAGAGCTGAAAGACTTTGCCCATGAGCAAACCTAACTTGTTTCCTAGACAAAAAAATTAATCAAAAAATTAACAAACTTCATATTCACTTAAAGAGTGAACACTTTACTATGTATAAATGCACAACACAGAGGCACTGATACAATGCACTGAAATAGCTACCTTAATACAGCTGATTGTACAGTCGGTTGAGATAAAAGGTGAATGCCTTTGTGCGTTTGTGTGCTCACCTTGCAGAACCACCCCTGGCATTACACTGGCCAGGTTCAGGTATGGATTGGAAGGCAGTCTGACTTCTTTAGGAGGATCGCCCAACAGAGAGCTCTGACCACTGCTTACCTAAACAGTGAGAAACAGATTTAAATGGTATTATTCTCTGATCAACCACTTTGCATCCTTTCTATCCTAACCGCTAACTTGGATTTGGAATTACAAAAACAATCCATTTTCATGTTGAAAAGATTCTGATGAAGTGCTGAACAGGCTGTGGAAACCTGGGAGGATTGTACTCTGTTAATTACACTTTCCCTGCATTAGAGAGACTTAGCGCTGGAACTGGAATCAGTTCCCCTAAGAATTTTAGTGCTGTGATTATCTCTGTACACTGACTTATTATGGATGATGTAAGCATAGCAGTGCTTTATTTAAACCAGGTCTAGTCAAAGGGATGTAGAGGAACACAGAAGCAGACAGGTCTTCAGTGTGTGCAGAAAGGCATACAGGTGAACAGGTAGGCAGGCATGGGGCAGGTAAACAAGCTGCCAGGACAGAAGATAGAAGGGTGGACAGGTAGAGAGGCAGACAGAGTAAATAAGGGTGAGACAGAAGTGCATTGTGGGAATTCCCCAAAGGAAGAGCCCTTGAGGGACTGAGGCTGCTCAGTATGTTTGTGTGTTTTGAATGAGCTTGACACCTGATGAGGCTAAATGAAGAATAAATACCCATCCACGAGAGACAGGAAAGAGAGAAATTTAGAACTGCAACAAGATTGCAATTCTTTATAATTTTTAAAATGGGTTGTACCATCATTACTGACACTTCACTAATCCTCTTCCACCAATCCATCCAATCGTGACAAGGCACGACAGGTCTGTCTGCTGATTGTTATTTCAGCCGGCAAAATTGAAGGTCGTCGGCTAGAAATGAGAAGCTGCTTGTGTCTACCTTTGATATCGAGGAACCATTGTGCCAAAATTGTATACGTTTTTGAGCAGGAAATCTGCCACCATTATCATTATAAACTGCAAAAGTGTTGAAAGTACAACAACAGAAAACTTAACAGTAACTAAGGCGGGCAGGGCTGGGCGAAGAGTTTATTCCCCAGAGTCCTCCTTGTTTTGTCCAACCAACAGTCCAAAAATTCCAAAAATTTAATACGTTTTTAAACAGAGAGAAAAGCAGAATAAAACAGATTAACTGATTATCAAAATAACATAACATTTTCTGTCAAGAAAGAGAGATTCAGAGAGAGATAATGAGACCCAGAAAGATTCACAAGTGACGAAGAATAACGTGAGATGCTGAAATGAAGGGGGAGAATGGAGTTATATGGCCAAGTGGTGTGTATTTGCTGTGTGTGTGTGTGTATAATTGTGTCTGCCATGCTCACCATGCTAGCCAGGGAGCACCCGTCCGAGCTGTTGTGCTGGCCTGTTGATGTATAAACTCCTCCAGGAGGGTTGGGTGGAGGTGGACCGAGGCCTGAGTTACTTATACCCAAAGAGTAGCTCTGTCCCTGCGGATGGGAGCTCAACATGGTCCCAGGAGGAGCTGGTTGCCTGTCGCAGGAGGTGGAGGAGGAAGAGGAGG